GGTCGGCAGCGTGTTGGAAATCTGTCCTTCACAGTACAGTGCATCATGTACCCCGTTGATGACTGACCTTGGTTGGAAAAAAAACTGTGATCATAAATCCACACGTGTTTTTATATTCACAACACGTAGCATATTATTATGATTATATTGATAAGAAATCGCACGCCAATCAGAAATAAATCTATTCAAATTCAGATTTCGTTTTCAAGAACTCAATCATCCCAGACGTGACGTTGACATTTTTTCTAATAATTCAATTCATTCTTTTTCCAAAGAGTCAAGTGTTTCGCACCTATTGATAAGCGCCCCACCCCCCCTCGCAAAAAAACAAAAACAAAAAACAAACAAACAAACAAACCAAAAACCCAACAACAACAAACAAAAACAAAACAAAACAAACAACCAAAAAAAACAACAAAAAAAAACACACCGTTTTGACATAAAACTATCACAGGTGTCCAGGGCCAATGACCTATGGTCCTCTATAGAGACCTTGGCGTTATCAGAGGGCCAATATCGCGCGAAGTCATACGACGCAAACGCTCTGTTGTTGAAGTGTAGTTTCAATTACGGCGTTGACCGAGAGAAGGGAGGCCAGACTAAGCAGTATCCGATTAACCTTGTTCTTGATGATACTCAGACAGTGAATGAGAACCACTCAATAACTCAGAACAGCGAATGCCGATAGTTTTTTTTGTGTTTTGTTTTTGTTTCTTACACCGTCACCGAGTTGATGATCTGACTGTAAACTCTGACCAGGTCTACGGCTGTTATCACAACCGTTATCAGAGAACTACTTCGGGCGGTAACAAAAGTGAGAGCAATGATTCTCCATTAGAGTGTGCACTCAATCACTTTACCTTGCTTATACATAAAAATCAATCAACTTTGTAGAGCATTCCCTCATTTTACAATGGCAGAACAGTGACATAATTTCTGAAAAAGAAAAGCTTTGACATTTCTTTTGAAGGCTTCTAAATAAGAGACAGATCTTTGTTCATAGGCAATGCGTCCCATACAAATGGAATGCGAAAGCACGATCCCCGTATTTCTCAAAAAGAGTTCGTGGTGTTGAAAGCAGTTTTGCACCAGAGGACCTAGACTAGTAGACTTCTAGTGAGAAAATAAACTAGAAACGTTTAGTTGACGTACCCTGGTACTCCTGGCATATGTATCATAAGCAATCCCTGCCTCTTTGTTCTCCCTCATTTCTCTATCCTAGTTGGTTTTCCTTTTCCAAAATATGGCAGTTGCCGTCTCATCTTTCTATGACTCCACAAAAAAAAGCTTGAGTACAAATGTCCCATTTTTTCATGACTCCACAAAAATAATCTTGTTCCATGTGCCTTTCCTGGTGGCAGCGATAAGAGCAACGCGCATAGAAATTGACATATTGGAAACGCTCTTTCGCTGTAGATGGGACACCATTATTATTTCCTTAGACACAAAGTGGGACAATGTAAGGCAAGTGCCACTACAAGTATAAAGCACAACAGCTTGATCTTTTTATCTCTCGGCTAGACTCCAGCATGCACGTTAAGCGTGCGTGCCCACGTAAAATCCGAAAAGGAATTTTACTTTTACTTGTGATCTGAGTGAGTTGTAAGTAAAGAAAATCATACCAGCAAGGAAATCGCCACTACAAGCAATGAAAAAAAGCAAATAGACAGAAGCAATTAAAGTGGGGAAGAAGAGGAGCAAGGACCTTGCAGTGATGTCTTCCAAACATTTGGTCAGAGCGGGCCAAGAGAGAACCAAATTAAAAAAAAAAATAGAGAGTGGGTGGGGTGGGGGGTAAAGGAAAACGAACGAAAAACGTCATTTAACAAACAACTGTTTAAAATAATATTATGTAATATTAGTATCGAAGTCATGTTACACACCACCACCGTTTGAGATGTTAAGCCAATCGTATAACAAGTTAATCGTATAAACACGAACAAGGACGATCACAATCCGTGGCAACATCTTTCAATAACACTAGCCAATATCCCAGTTAACATTAGTTAGGGCAAACATTTCCATGCAAACTAGAAATGTATCTGTTCTCCAGACTCCAGACACTCCATTTCAAACAGCGTGCCAGAGTGTTCTCACAAAAAAAAAACAACAACAACAAACACTGTCCCGCCCTCCCCAAAAAGAAATTAAAATCAGAAAAACCCTCACACTAATGAATCTGTGCAAGCGTACTCTTCTCGGGCTTTGTCAAAATGGAATTTATGAAAGAAGAAGACAGCTTGTTTGCTGGAGAAAAAATCTATTCTCAAGTAGCAAGATTTCGCGAGATGAGACTCAAAATATATTATTGCCCCACCCCCTCCCCCCTCTCTCTGTCTCTCTCTCTCTCTCACACACACGCGCGTGCACACACACACACACACACACACACACACACACACACACACACACAGAGATAGAGAGGGAGAGAGAGAGACACACACACAGAGGGAGAGAGAGACAGAGAGAGACAGAGAGAGACAGAGAGAGAGAGAGAGAGAGAGAGAGAGAGAGAGAGAGAGAGAGAGAGAGAAGACAACGAAGCCCCCTGGAAATCAGTAAGGAAACTTGGGTGGTGCCGGTAATACCTCTTCGGGTGTCAAGTCTGGAGCTGACACTGACTATCATGGTATCCCACTCATGTCTCTTGTCTGTTTTCCTGATCAGCTGGGTTCTTTGCATTAAGTTATTTTTTGCAAAGATGTTCAGTTCAGGTCATCTGCGTATGTTGATTTCTGTCTTTTCCTGCTCTTCTTCCTCTCTATCTTTCCACACAGCAGCAGTTTCTCTCGTCCATTTGATTTATTAATGTGACCAAAGAATCCCAAATGTCTCTCTCTCTCTCTCTGATGATTCTGAATATAGACCTTTCACAACCTGCCATTTGGAGCACTTCTCACTTGTTTTCCTCTATGCCCAAGAGATTCTAAGTATACTCCGTAAATACCACATTTCAGCGGGTCCCAGTCTTCACGCTGTGTCCTGTCCTTGTTACGAGTCCAGCTCTCGCATCCATACAAAAAGATTTATCACACGTACGCTTTCAGAGTTATCATCTTTGTGCTCACTGTTATGTGCCCGTTTAACAAGACATGTCTTATCTTGTCAAACATATCTTAAGATATTTACATCCGCTGTTTCATCTTTTACTTTTTGCAACTGGTGTAATTGTACAACCAAGGTATTTAAAGCTGTTGACCTATTTCAATCTCTCATTCTTACATGTGATGTTGCATTCTGGGATATCGACACTTTTCGAAACCACTACGCATTCTATTTTCTCTGGCATTCAGCCGTAAGTCCTTCTCTTTGTTTTTCTCTATCACTCAAGTTGGAATCTCATGAAGTTTGGACCCAGAGTCCAAGACTGTATCGTTAGCATACCTTAGGTCGTTCATATTGTGGCCCCCTAACCTAGACTTGACTTGATCGACACCAATACATGTGTGCGGGTAAAGAACACACATTTCAGCACAGTGACAGGGGAACTCCGCTTCAGCGTCGATCCCGGAAAGGGAA